TATTCATTGATTGAGCACCCTGTACTGCTTTTGGCTGAAATTTATAAAATCTCTCTTAAAACAATTTTTCAGGAAAATCAGTTTCTCAAAAACAGGTAGATGTTATCCCTCTTTCCAGTATTGATGGGAGTTTCCTTCCTAACCTTTTGTTTGAAGTAATGTGGAATGGCAACATCTTATGTCATTATTTTCTCTTTGAGTTGATCTGAATAAATATTTATAAACCACCTAACATTTATACAAAAGTACTCATAAAAATGAGAAACAGTAAGATGTGGAAACAACAAAATGAGTATTATTTATTATCTGGTTGTCATGTGGTGTTGGAGACACGAGGGACAATAACACTGAGTATAATTGTGAGTTTGGGGTCAAATGTAAGTCAAATATGGATCAGTATCTAACAGAATAATAAGACAAAGAATAAGTAAAATGTATACAGTCTTTCACGTATGTTTTTTTTTTATAGGTGTGTGTAATGAGTCCTCTGATAATTTAATTAGGAAATACAAGTGTCTTACCTCAAATTTTTGTTGAATGCTAAATGTTAATATTATGGCCTGAAAAAAGAAAATATTAAATTTTCATTGACACATGTGTTAATGATCTGTCCATGTGAACTGCTTGTCACGTGTTTGTGTGTGTAGAGGAGAGAAGTGGGGTGGTTGTCACCGATTTAGAATGAGTGAATTAAAGATAATTATAATTTTTATAATTATTTTATTATAATTATTTTTTTTTATTGGACACAACAATGTCCTGTCAATTTTTGTTGTTGGTGCTGTTGGCAGTCTGTAAGTGATGGTACAGTTCTTTGTGCTTCTGTAGCACTAGTCTACAATGCTCCAAGAAGTATGGTCTTATTGGAGACACACAGCCTTCACCAACCAAAAAAGAAAAACTCAAAAAAAGGAATAATTCATTTAAATTTTCAGCCAGCCTTCATGGTTATAAACACATTTCTATTTTCTTCCAGAATGGCCAGTGGACAAAAAAAAAAAAAATCTTTTATTTAAATTCTTAGCTAGATTTCATGATTATAAACAATTTCTTTTGCTTCCAGAAATGGCAGAAAAAGAGCCATTATTTATGAAGAGGATGTGAAAGAGCATTAAAGCCTGTGGGCGAACATTAGCCCTCCACAACTTCCCCTCTTTTGTTATTCTAACTTGGTTCTTTAATATCCATCTTTGTCCTTGTTCTGCCACCCATTATTCTGAACTCATCAATTAGGTTACTCGTTACTGTGTGCTTCCCTTGCCTTCAATCTATCCGTTGAGTGTTAAATTTGCCAAGTCCTCTTTCCTTATGTGCCTCAGAAATTTCAACTCTCTTTCTGACTGAAAGTTTAAATTTCTTTGTAGATCCTATAACCTGTTTTTTTCTTTCTTTTTTTTCTTTTCGATAAATGCCATTTTCCTTTAAGACATGAGTGATCATGGTTCTCTGTAACTTAGTTTTTTGTTGTCCTAACTTGATTTTTTAATATCTTTGTCTTGCCATCTATTCAATGCAACATTGTTAACTAGCTTTCCCCACCACCGATTCTCTTATCAATATGTCTTGTGAGTGTTAAATTCTCCAAGTTCTATTTCCTTGTTATTTATTGCAGAAATTTCAACATTTTTTTCCTAATTGTAACAATGAGTTTGCTTATTGATCCTATTTTCCTTAAGACTTCCTCATTGCTCACATATTCTGTCCATGGTATACTTAGCATCTGTGTCGCTTCAAGTCTTTTCTTCATCTGTGATGAGATTGTCTAACATTCACTTCCATACAGGGGATTAGATATTGCATAGTAGTTCAGAACTGTTTTCTTTGTTTAACCTTTACCATGCTAATTTCTTTCTAGAATTCTTCTCCTTGTCACTGCATTTATCTTTTTGACGGTGCAAAAACATGAACACCTACTGTTTTAAAATTGTTATAACTTTCTTTGCATTGTGTGTATAGATTTTATTTTTTGGATACTAATAAAAGAATGGATGAGAATTATTTTGATGTAATGCATTATGTATTGCATTACATTTTGCATCCATGTTTTGATGTTGAAAACAAAAAAAATTGAAAACATGAAAAAAAAAAAAACACAAAAAACAAATACATTAAAAAAAAATACAAACTCCTGAATAAAGGCTTCATTTGATATTCACATGGACATTTTTGTTTACAAAAAAATTGTAAAAAAATCAATATGGGTTTAATTGGTGTTATGCCACATGTAGAATTTAGAATTCAAAATGGCATTGTAAAATGGAAGATTAACCTTCTTCCAAAGAAGCAATAGTAGGCAATTTCCAGCTTAAAATACCGGAAATAGCAGTTGACAAGTGTTTATTTATAGAAACTGTCTCAAGGCAAAAGAATGCACCTAGAGCAGGAAAGTGAGAGAAATCTATGGCAACAATTGTCACCTGCAGTGTGATAAAGATTAAAATGAAATTTTACTATCTCTAAATACTTGAGTTTCTGGAAGGACTCTTTTGCCATTCTGACCTATATTCAAAATTCTGTGTCCAATTTTTCATCGTCTTTTAATGATTGATTGATTCATTCTCTTTCTATGGCTTATCAAAACATTGCAGTTAATTTAAATGTTTTTTTTTTTTTTTTAGAAGATAATGATTTAGTGATACAAGTATTACTTATTAATCCATAGCTAAGAGAGAAGAGGAGGATTGATAATATTCCCAAGGGTATTTGCACATATATGATGGATATAACAAATAGCATATTAAACTCAATGGGTTATTTAATGCGGACAAGATTTTTATATTAGATTTGTATGAATAGAATATGCATTCTATGTAAGATATCAGTTTGTAGAGATCCTATCTAAATATTCTTGGCATCTGAAGGAAACAAATAGGACACCTAAAGTAAAATGGAAAATTATAAACAGGGCTAGAACATGTAAAACTTGGGATGACCCATGCCCTTTGTGCCTCCATGAGAAATTGCACATTATTAAGCTTCTAAATAATAATAATCTATTAAACAATAGACATGAGTTAACGTTTTTTTTGTCGACATCATCAGATTCATGGTTTGAATAATTAGCTAAAAACAAGCATACAATATAATAACTTTCATAATCCATAGCCCAAATAAATAGTTTAAATACCCTACAAAAAAGTTAAACCTTTATGAAGTCGTCAAAAAACAAACGTTACGGGTTTTTTTTTTTTTTTTTATGTGCACAAATCCCTTTCATAAAGAAATAAAATAAATAAATCTCCATAGACACGCAAACTAGACGAGGGTTAATACATCTTCCGTTTAAAATTTAGGCACCGCCACCTTTCCCTGACTTGACATCTATGAAGGTAACTCTATACTGATACTTATTATTAACACCCAACACATGCCTACCCAATTTAAACAATTCGCCCTAGCTGTTACCATGGAAATCCTGATTTTAATTATTAAAACACGTAAATTTCAGAAATACGTTATTCCAAAAAAATTTCTCTTGAAGATGGAACAGAGCTTACTTTAACTCAATTTAATTCAAATAATTATATTGTAGTTTTCGGCCCTTGTTTTGAAACACGAGACCTCTTATGTCACGAGTTGGAATCATATTTTTAAATAAATAATTATATTTATGCTCTACTTTTGTATCGAGCACTATTTTTAAAAATAATAACTAAAATACTAAGGAACTGTGGATTATTTACCTAACCAGTTCCTTCCTATTTTCTATATACTTTCACACACACACACACACATATATATATATATATATATATATATATATATATATATATATATACACACACACACATATACATATACACACATATATATATATATATACACACACACACATATATATATATATATACACACACACACATATATGTACATATATATACACACACACACATATATATATATATATATATATATATATATATACATATACACACATATATATATACACATATATACACACACACGCATACACATATACACACACATATGCACATATATATATATATATGTATATATACACACACATGCACATAAACACACACATATATACACATATCCACATATATATATACACACACACACACACATGCACACACACACACGCACACACACATATAACATTAGTCTAATAACTGCTTAGACATACAAGAATCTTCACAAATTGACATACATATAGAATTATCTAGTTTAAAAGCACATGACTGACCAATGACAACTGACCCAAACAAAATTGAAAATACCAGAAGTTCTGTCTTTTTGTCTGCTTTCTGTCAATGTCTGATAAAGATTTAATGAAAGTGAAATGTGTGATTGATATATGTTTACTATTTGTTGTTTATTTTATCATCTCAGATTCCCATTCATATTTGATCTGCATATGCACACACACACACACACACACACACGAGATAACAATATATACTTTTATATATCAAGAACAGTATTGGGAAAAAGTTGTTGAAAAAAATTTTTTTTTTCTTTAACGTATTGCTGTTAATAGTTTTTTTTTTTTTTTTTAAATTTATTGCTGGTAATAATTTTTGTTTATTTCATTTACCTTTTTTTTTTTTTTTTTTATAAAAATGTACTGCTGGTAATATTTTTTTTTTTTTCCTGACAGATATAAATTGCTGGTAATTTTCATTTTGTCTTTTGAATTTTTTTTTTTTAAATGTATTCCGGGTATTTTTACTATAAAAATAAATTTTTTCTACTTTCATAGTGTTTTCACCACAGTTTTGGCATTAACTATTTGTTGGGACCCTAACTGGTGCTACCACCCCAGGTCACATTAGACCTGGGAACAACAGCAATTAAGAGGTGGTTCCAAGCTCCTCAAAGGCCTTGCTGCCGGATGTAGTTTGTCATCATACCCAGGACAAATCCTCTTGTGTTTTAGTGGATTTATTGCATTGATTGGGAGTGACATAAATAAAGAAAATACTTCCTCATTAAGCTGTAGAATAGATATACTGATGTCATTTTTTTTATTTACTTACTTGTCATAATGTGGATCTTTTTTGTCAAATGCAGTATGATCAGGATACCCTTCTTTAACAATCTGCAAAAGTATCAAAAAGGAAAACAAAATAAAATTAAAAAAAAAAAGAAAAAAAAACAAAAAAAAAAAAAAAAAAAAAAAAAACACCTACATCAATGCTTCTTCTCGTGATAACAGAATTAAATAATGAATAAAGATCTGAAGGCATTTGAGTCAAACACAGACTTTGAATTAAAAAATTAAAACCAAATTCTAAATCAAATGGTTTTTGGCATGTATTTACAAGAGTTTGCTTTTTGGAGACTTTTCACTGCCAATTTTTTGATAAATTTACTTATTTTGGGATTAAACATTATCATCTCCTATAACAATTAGAAATAAGTACCATATATTTCTGCATATAAGGCGACCTTTAGAAAAGATGAGGTCAAAAATATAAGAAATTTTCAGAAAATTATCCTATAGACAACTGCTTATTGATTATATAAAGATGATGTTATTGGAAATGTTGGACTAGCAAAAGCAGCATTCCAAAAGCTAAGCAAGGTGCTGAGAAACAGAAAAAGTTAGTTATGCAGGTCGGTTAACGTGTCTCCCAACTTGTTGCGGGTGTTAGTAATGTAGGTGTTTGAAATTGGGAAGAACACGCTCTCTTCTGAAAATGCCTGCAACAAAAATGGCAGAATCGGGATGTGAGTCCACAAAAAGAAACGACAACAACCAATATATATGTACAAACAAATGATAATGTATTAACAAAGGTATACAAATGACGAAGACAATGATGTGCGTAATAAAACAACGGGAAAACTGTTTGGGTTCAAAGTATGTGCAGTGGGTGAATGTGCATATGTACATGTGTTGTGTATGTGTGGTTATTTCATGAATTTCTCAAAGGGAAGTGTGTTATCCCTGAGAGATTTACATGCTGATGAATAATTGGATAAGGTAAGAAGAGAGTGAGAAAAAATACTGCAGAGTATTTAAAGTCTAAAGAGTGTCCCCTAGTAGCGGTTTTGAAAATTATGAGGGGTTAACTTGACAGTTAAAAACAAAGAAAAGAGTATTGGATTGCTATGTGATATCCATCTTCTTATATGGCAGTGGATGCTGGACAATCTTCCCAGGGACGAGGAAAGTCCTAGAGGCAACAGAAATGTGCTTCTACAGAAGGATACTGAGAATTCCAGGGACACAGCGAGTAAGCAACAAGGAAGTCTTAAAGAAAATCTCAAAAGAAAGAACACTTAGAATCAGGAAAAAAGAGCTGAAATTCCTTGGACACATAAGGAGGAAGGAGGGCTTGAAAATGAAAAACTTAATCCTCATGGGATATATTGAAGACAAGACTGATTTGTTATCAACACCTGATCTACCCATTACAGGTTATTTAAAGCCAGAAAATATATTTTACATTGTAAAAATTTTTTTTTGAGATAATAATGATTTAGTGATTAAAGTCTTATTAACCTAGAGCTGGGAGGAGAAAAGGTGAATTCATACCTTCCCCAAGGATATTTGCGCATAAGGGAATATAATGAATCCAATTGGAATTGGAACTCAGCTCTCTGATTAAGAATTCAAAGCCTTTATCCATGACATCACCCTGCACATCCAAGTTTACAGTGCTCCAAAGCAGTCACCCATCAAGGTACAAACCAAGCTCAATGTTGCTTAACTTTGGTTACCATATAGGAACCTGGGTTCCAAGAGCAAATGGCTGTTAGGGCAAGAGAGATATGGGAAGGCAGTGAGCTTGTGTGAAAGGATAGCAGAATGGGGAGTGAAAGTCTTAGCTAGGTGAGAAAAACTGCTCAGAGCTACATGATGGGATGTTGTGGAGAGCCATGATTGCCTATATACTGAAGGGATGTAGCACATAAAAGAAAAAATACTGATGCTATCCTCCAGGAAAGTGACATGTTGCACTTTCTCAGGCTCATGTTCTCTGGAAAGATTATATTGAATCCATTGCAAAGTCAGCTGCTAAGAAAATCGGTTCACTGTGTCGCGTGAGACAATTTTTATCTCCAAAATCTATCTTACATATCTATAAGTCTACCATTTGTCCATGCTAAGAATATTGCTGCCATATATAGTCTGGTACCCAAGCTATTTACCCTGAGCTCATTGATAAGATTCAAAGAAGAATAAGCAATATTATTGATCCTGATCTGGCAGCTCAGCTCCAGTCACTTTCCCATCATGGTAATTTTTTAAATAAGCTCTTCACTAAGGTACCTAGAGTTTTTGAATTTAAGCACAGCATTGGTGTTGAGATCTCATCAATTTACAGCTGAGCTGGCTAGATATAGCTGTAAATTCTATACTAACAGTTTCTATTCTCACACTTATCGCTTGTGGAATTCCCTTCTGTCTCCATGCCTTCCAGCCAATTTTAATTTGCAAAAATCAGTCGCTATCTACTGTCCATCTGATTACTCTCTTCTCTTTCTGCTTATCATTAATGTTTCTGTTCCTAATTCTTCTAACACCTTCCCTTGTGTTTTAGTGGCATTACTGCCTTGCTTCCAATCAAAAAAAAAAAAAATTCCTGGTCACATTATCATTTCTGTCTGAATTTCTGTAGAAAAGAGTTACCATTATTTACACTCAAACTATCGTCCTCATCTTTGCTGTTATTATAACAGTGTCTTAGCAGTGATAAGAAATTTAAGCTGATTGTGTGCGTATCGTCTGGTTTTCTTAGAGAAAGCAGACACAGTTTTGGGCTGTGGCTTAATCTTTTGAATTTCAAAAATATTTTTGATACATTTTGATTTGTGGGAAAGTAGCTGTGTTTGATTTTCATTTGGAACAAATCAAAAGGTTTCCTCCAAATTCTAAGAAATGAATTTAGAACCTACATGAACGGATAAATAGAGGGCCAGGGATTTAATTCGAAGTGTCAATGAACAACTGCTACATGAACCCAGGTCACCCCAGTCCAGGAAGAAAAACAAGAAATTTGACGACCACCAGATAAGAATTGAAAGGAACATCAAAGTCACTTCCACATCAAAGAAAATTCCTCAGCTGGTGTGATTGTTCTGTTCTTTGTTGTTACCACAAACTTTGCTTACAAAATTGTACCTCTCAGAGAAGTATATTTCCCTTTCTTCATTTTTTTTTTTTTATGCTGTTTACCTTTTCTGAGGACCTTATGCAGAATTGTAATTTTTATTGTAAAAGAGGCATATTTCATTTGCATAAATTATTTTTACATACATGTTATTGGCCATCATTTGGCACACAAAGTACTTATTTTGTGTAATTCTTTCATTTTTTTGTGTTAATAAATTTATTGTCTGTTTTTTAAATTTGTCTTGTGTCATTTGTTTTTGTTGTGTACCTTTATCAATTAAATGTTACTTCAAATGTTTGTTTGAACTATTTGTTTTTGTAGGTTTTTTTTTATCAAATAAAAAAATCCTTTAGTTTTCTGAATCATATCTCAGACATTAATACCAAAGGGGTTAAAAACAAGGTGACTACATTTCATTTTAACATTAAATGCAGATTATACAGAAATATAATTTTAAATTATGTATATTTTAAAACTTTATTTCCATGCATACATCCATATTCATGTTGAATGGCCACTCTTCTAGATCCTTTCACATTAATGCTGGTGCCTGCCACAGTTCTTTCCTTAGAGCTATTTTGTTTCTTATTTTCATTAGTTACCTTCCTGGTGGCATCAGTTTCTTATGCTGATGACAGAACTTATTTACTCATGTCTTAACAGTAAGTCTGATAGGACTGATAAAGTAAAACTAGCAGCTGATCTCCAATATTACCTCCAGTCATTTGTTAGCAGGGGCAAGAAATGGCTTGTAAAGTTTAATGCTTCCAAAACAAAACTGCTATCTTTTTGTCACCTTAGAGAACCATTTTTGCTTTCTATCAGCATGGCTGATGCTAACCTCCAGGAGAGCAACTCATTGGGCTTTCTTTCAAATGGAATAATTAAATTGAATCAATTGTTAGGTTTGCAGCTAGGAAAGTGGGTTCACTGTGTTGGGCTAGACCAGTGGTTCTCAAATGGTGCAGCACACCTCATATGTGCGGTAGAGGAGGATAGCAGGTGAGGTGTAATGATTGAAAGACAAAGATTTAGAAATAGTTTTAAAAATTCATATGCCAAAAATAAATACGATTTTAAAATTTAAAATATTATTATGAATTACTTGTAATTGCATGCATGAGTCCCAGTATAAATAGTTATAAATAATTATTGACTGATTTTATCATTGTGATATTTTTGCATTATATCAAGTATTAAGAATATAGTAACTAGGGTTTGCAAATTGAAGGAGTGAGTTATCAATGATAATGTTCTGACTTCGACTCTATGGTTATTAATACACACTTTTTTATTTTTAAATGTACTTTTATCACAGTATTTATACTAGTCGGACTATTGTCCTCATCTTTGTCGCAATATTTGTCACAACGTTTCAGCTGTTGTAGGCTCCGGCCTTCTTCAGGTGGTTGGAATTTCAAAATGAACCCTTTATTTCGATCACTGGGGTAGACTGTTCTAGTTCCACGTGCCATGTTTGATGGATGTCAGTTATCAGTTATCTCCTGCTAATTTTCCCTCTGAAAGTTCTCCATTGCCTTAACCGGGTATTGAACTCACCTTCTTTGGGTCTGTCACTGGATCTAACCAATGCCTTTATCCACTGTGCCATGTGTCCTTGAGGACATAAAATTTAGTGAGGCATGAGCAAATTTTCATTCTGAAAATGCAACCCAGGGAAAAAAAGTTTGGGAACCACTGGGCTAGAAAATTTTTCTTGTCAGCAGCCATATTACACATTTATAAATCTACCATTCAACTATGTATTGAATATGGCTGCCACATCTGGTCTGGTACATTTTTTTTTTTTTTTTAAGAACCTTGAATTATTACTAGATTTTTCTTTTTGAAACCTCAAAAGATCAATTTTTTTTAAAAGTATATGCCAAATTTTGATTTCAGATTAATAATTAATATTGAATTATACAGTGAACATTAATGGGGTAAGGAAACTGATGAATTGCAGTAATCAGAA